TAACGGGTAAAGAAGTCATAAGTTTAATATGGAAAAACTGAAAATGGAAGAAACTTAGGAGACTGACTCAGTTGAAGAAATAAGCTATAAACTGAAGATTACAAGTATAACCTCTTATCCCACAGACGAAAAAGGATTACAAAATCTATCGAGTTGCAACATTGATGCGTGGAAGAAATTGTCACAAGAAATATGCAGTGATCAATCGTGATCTACAGTGGGTGACAAGGGGCGGTCCGCGGTGGTCGACGGTGGTGGGAGGGATGCTGGACTTCAGCTCATTCTCAAAATTTCAAGATGTCATCAGGCCTAAAGTTCTCTCCTCTACTCTTGAGAAGGGTGTGGTTCTTGACTAGTCACCAACAAATTTTCATCATCCGACACGAATCTCGAGATAATATTTTAAGCAGTAAACATTCAAATCTTGATAAAAATTCATCCATAGTTCCATTTTTAGCAAACTTATAGTCGAACTGACCGGCTCGATGAGACTGACCTAATGATATAAAAATTAGTCCAATTCGAGTCAAATCAAGCCCAGATCAAGTCATTGAACCACAATTAAGAGATTTTCGGATAAATTTAGATGGTCAAACGATTGTCGAATATGACAAATTTATATTCGAATCAAGCGGCTCGACAAGACGAATCCAACGAGTTCAAGATCACTCAATTTTGACATCATTAAAGCACTCAAATGTCCATTACACACTGTATGATCGAGGGAAGCTTTCTGAACCGTCCGATCAAAACGGTTCATATTCCTACATTTATTGCACGTAGAACACTATAAATAGAGCCCCACCCCTCACATGAGAGGGGGACTTGAGGCTTCAGAGAGAACTTGAAGCTCTGAGAAGGAGCTGAAGTTCAACACCATCCCAAACATCGTCAACTACCGCCAGCCGTCATCAACACCCGTCCATCGTCGTCAACCAACACCATATTTTTATAAGGCTAATATCTACCTTAAATATTTAATTTCGCTTCCAATTATTTAAATATTAAATGTTAGGCATAAGCTATAAATTTGTTTAAATAATTACATCAAACACGTGAATAATGGATATTTGATGCAACTATTTATAAAGCTTTCTATTCCTTAATTTCTTTCTTTCCATGTTTTAAATTTGTTTAATTTGTAGAGGAAAGTTGGTTTATATTAAATAGAATTTCTTCTTTTAGCCTGTCAGCATTCAAAAAGTTGGAGGGTCCAAATCATTTTTATTTCATAAAATATCAAAATATTATCATTCTCTTTTAATATTATTTTTTTGAAGATTATTTAAATCATAATTTGAAGAGTCTGTAGACTATTTTGACACTTCTATAAACTCTCAGACTAAAATGACCCGATGTAAATAGTCAGAGACTATTTTGGCACTTTACTCGTATTTTATAATTAAGGATGATTTACACATTTACACAATACTCAATTCCCATGCATTTATATATATATATATATATATATAGCACCACAACTTTATTTTTTTACGTACGTGCCCATTCTTACCAATACATGACAAGCTATGTGAAATGAATGATTTGGGTAATATAAATATAATAAGTAAAGTTTAGATGTTAGAGATGCAAATACATAGGAGATGGATGATATTTATGAAAATACCCCCTCTTTCTAATATATTTTATTTAATTCATAAATGATAAAACGATAATTAGAAATGATAAATTTAGGTTGTCAGTCACTATGAATATTAGTGTAATCTTCATCGTTTATGAATTTTTAATACATTTAATAAATAATTAAATTAACATGATATGTATATATTAAAGAGAAATCGATAATTGGTCCAATGGACCAACTATTGATTTCCCCAATTGGTTGAAAACCCAGGCGTGCATGTATCTGATTCGAAGAGCTCGCGCCACGGGATTCGAACACCCGACCCGAGGGACTTATGTCAGAGGCCGCACCAATAAGCTAGGTCATTCGCGCACACACACACACATATGTCCACGCTCTTGTTGGTCCGAGAAGGTCCAGATCTTATCGTGGCCAACATTGTATCGATCGCACCCATGGAAGTGAAGGCTTATGTTCGTGTATTTTTCGTAAATAATACTCATTTTGCTTTTTTTTTTTTTTTTTTTTCCATTCGTGAAATTTATAAAATATTTTAATTATTAACTTTATTTTATTTTCATCATTGATTTGAGTAATTAGTTGACATTTCGTTGAATATGACAAGCATTATTGATTGATGTCTCAACTAACAGCTAAAATTTAAATAAACCACCTTATAATCACTATGATTTGTTTTTTATTTAATCAATATAATTCTTTTTATAGGACTCTGATTAATATTAAAATAAGTATATTGACTCATTACAAAAAAAACCAATTAACTTAAAATAAAATTAAAAAAAAATCACAAATTGCATGCATACCGCCCAAATATTATGTATTTACATATCTAACTTCTAAAGTTTATTTTTTACGTTTTAATATCATTATTATAACTTTTAAAATATAAAATATATATTTTTATGCATAAATAAGGAGGTGTATTTGCAAAAAATTGAAGGATACATTTTATATATGTGAATGCCAGTGGCATGCTTGTAATTTTTTCTAATTTTCATTATCCCCATCAAATATTATAATATACTTTTATATTTCGCTAATTAAACTTAAATTAAAAAGAAAATTCATCCTTTAGCTGTACCAAAATTAACTTGAATTTATTTGAGTTGATTTTAAAAAAAAATAAGAAATTATTTTAAAAAATTTGGAATTATTTTAGGATTTCTATAAACTTTTGGACTAAAACGAAAATATGTAAATAATTGAGACTATCTTACAACATTGCTCAAAATTTTAGAATAAAATGTCAAAATAATCCCCAACTATTTCCATTGTGTCATTTTAGTCCCATGTTTTACAAAAATGTCAAAATAATCCTTGAATTATTAAAATATGGTTCAAATAATCTTCATAAAGAACTAATAGAACTCAATTTTAAAATAATTGTACACTTTGGATACTTCTATAAACTCTTAAATTAAAACGATCATATGCAAATAGCTCGAAATTTTGTTAACACTTTACCCCAAAATTTAATTAGAAAAATATACTATCATGTATTAATGCACATATCGATTCATAATTAATTGTGAATATATATATACAGGACTATTATACGAGCCTTCAACCATCTCTAATGTGTCTAACAATTCAAGTATGACCTCCTTAATGCTAACTGTGTCAGACGGGATTCGAATAAAATTTAGGTATTAGATATGAAAATACATGTGTCAGTTGTGTGACGGTACCAGCTGCAGAAGTGATCGGCCAAGGTTACTTGCCAATCTTTCTACAACTATTTCTTGGGACTAGCCAAACGTCAAAGTTAAGAACACATGTCCATGTCTATTTATAGGCTGCCTGATACACATGTTCCCATCTTTTTGATGAAAAAATATTACATCAGTACTACGCACCTCACCCATTTAAGGTGTATGAGACATACCTAACTATATATATATATATATATATATATATATATATAACAACAAGCATTCTAGTGATTTTAGTCTAAATTTAAAGTCTTTCATTACAAGAAAATGTGATTCAAAATTTAAATTTCTTTTAATATTCAAAATACTTAAAATTCCACTAATGATAAAATAGAGTTGAAAACCATTAATAAGCTTACTCTCAAGCAAACATGCTATTATGTATTTACATATCTAACAACCAATATTTTACATACGTACCACTTCACTGATGCATGAAAAAATATATTTCACCTTTTAAAAACTAAAATAACATCTATTAAGTGATGTGAAAATTTCGAGCGGTATAAATATAAAAAAAATAAAATTTAGGTATTAGATATGAAAATACATGTGTCGGTTGTGTGTCGGTACCAGCTGCCGAAGTGATCGGCCAAGGCTACTTGCCAATCTTTCTACAACTATTTCTCGGGACTAGCCAAACGTCGTTTTTTTCTCCTATCGCGCGTGGCGTGATTTTATTGACTACGCACGGTATTTCTAAGTGCGTAGTACTGACGTAATATTTTTTCATTTTTGATAGGATTAGGCTGCCTGATACACATGTTCCCATCTTTTTGATAGGACTGTGGACATGCCTCGTATTGTATAGTCTAATCTTTATTGCTCCTTTTTTTCTCCCGCTTCGCTTCGCATCCCATCTCCTCCAATCGCCTCCCATCGTCCCTCGAACCCTATCTTTTTCTAGAGAATGGATGGATCAAGAATTGGAGGGAGGAGATTTCCACACCATTTCCCCTTCTTCAACACGACAACATCATTCTCAGACAAGGTCTCTCCCGAATTTTGTGAGCCCCACGACACGAACGATACAAGACCCTATGGATTCATCAACACGACAACATCATTCTCAGACAAGGTCTCTCCCAAATTTTGTGAGCCCCACGAACGATACAAAACCCTATGGATTCATGCATGCATACCACCCAATTCTTATGTATAGACATATCTAACTCTTAAACTTTATTTTCTTACACTTATACCAACCAAATCATTCAAATAACATCCAAAATAACACAATTTGAACTTTTAAAGATTGGCAATACACCTTTTCATACAAATGAAGGTGGCATATATATATAAAAAGTAAAGAATAAACATTAGATATGTAAATACATATATATTGAAAGATATGCATGTAAATCATCCAGAAGTTTAAAACTCACTCTCATCAAATTTTGATGAGTATCTGTCCACAAAAATCAATATATTTCTTCTCAGTAACACAATCAAAATGTGTGAAAATTTCGGAATTTTAATTAAAAAGTCTTCAGAAAAAATAAAAATAATAACCATCCAACAAAATTTCATAACATCTTCTCACAAAATATAAAATAGAAAAGACTCGGAAAATTTCAAAACTAAATAAAATTTGCAGATCTAACCTGGCACAACAAAGCATAAGAGTTGTTGAAGAGCTGAAGAACCAACCAATGCAGCATAGAACCAGTTTGCGGACTGGTAGTCGCAATATGAAACTCGGATTCAGTTCTACAAAAAGGACGAGAAAGCCGCCGAGCACAACTCAGTGGTTCAACTCATACCGATCAAGCATTTCGATAATGATTCAATTTATACAACAGAACCTTTCCCGCTGCATTTCCCACAGCCATAAAGCCTCCACCAGGGCTAAAATCCATACATCGAGGATACTGCAACCCAGTTCTAGGAGGCCAATTCGAAAACACTGTAAAAGAAGGAATATGAACCAGTTTCAAACTATCCTTCTTCATATTGGAACATATTGCCAATATCTGAGCATCATGATTAAATTTCAAAAAATTAACCGTTGTAGTCATATTTTCGATACTCTTCAACGGCTTCTTCTTCCCACCAATAAAATCATCTCCTTTATATATGTTCACTATTCCGCTGCTTGAACCAGCTGCAAATAAGCGGCCATCCGGCGAAGCGGACAACGAAGTTGTGGTTATGCAACCCTCGTCGACCCCCTTATGAATGCACCTTCGTGACCTCAGATCCCAATGGTAAATATCGCCGTCGCCGCCACCACTGATAAGTTGCCGTCCGTCTTCCACGAATGCCAAGGATCGAACGGTTCCGTTCATCTTCAACGTCCCGATCAACTCCTTTGTTTTCGACGAGATCAAAAGTATGTATCCTTCGTTCCCGGCAAACGCAATGGTGCTCGAATCAGGCGAAACTTCGAAAAGTTCCAAACTTTTCTCATCTCTTCCGGTCAGAGGACCAATCTTATCAACCACAGCTTTCACCAGATCGAAAACATAGAAGAACTTTCGTCTGCCAGCTAAAATAACCTGAGAACCGTTGGGAAGGAATGAAGCATTTCGAATTGGGCAGTCTTCAAGAAATATGCTTTGAACCAATGTGTTGCGTTTCCCATCAATTTGGAAAAACCTCAGCCTCCTGTCCAAACCTGCAGTAAATAAGAGCTTCCCATTTCGATGGAACTGAACCGAGTTTATAGGACCGTTCGATGGTTCCTCAGAATTCGCATTCATCAGCCTCGAGTACTCTAACAATCCAGGGAGTAACTTAACAGAACTCTTCTCAACAAGCTCGTAATTGCTACGTAGAACACCATCTCCTTCGGCATCTCCAGTTGTGATGCCACTCTCATCATTAGAATCATCATCTGATGCTAAAATCTCATTGCGCTTCCGATTAAACTCAGCCCAATCCGTTCGTGGGTTCAGCTTCTCGTGTTGAGCGCGCAATCTAGAAACATATTCTGCACCCGAAATCAATTTCTCACCAGCCTCCTTTCTCAGCTTCCTCAGCCTTCTCACAGAAACTATGTCAACCTCCATTACTTCATCCTCTTCATCAACCCATGCCGGCTTTCTTTCTTCTTTGTCATATTGGTTAATATCTTCTTTATAAACCACCATATCATCGCCGGAGGATTTATCCAGAAAAAAATTTAAGGGACCTTCATCATTGCCGCTGCCAATCTCCTTGCCAAACTGGATTGAGGAGTTAAGGCTTCCAAATAAGAAGCTCTCGAGTTCCTTGATTTCTTTCTCTTCTTGCTCCATTCCAGAAGTTCTACCATGTTTATCATCTGCCCTCCCTCTCTTCTTACTTCTCTTTAATAAAGAGTCTTCAGCATCAGCAGCATCTTTGCTTTCACGAAATTTAGGCGCCGCGTTCTGAGAAATCAGGCTCATCGTACCAGTTTCAATCTCCTAAAATTAAATTTTTAAAAATGCTTAATTAGTGATGTCATGAGGCATAAAGTTGTTGCTATTATTAGAACAAATTTGACCAAGATAAAAAAGTAATAAATACTAAAAATTATATGAACAGCTTGAAAAAAAAAGTTTAAAAACTTCTTTTAAAAAGGTCATCCATAACATTGTGGTATTAAGTTGCAAAAATTCTTCAGTAATCATAACTATGATTTCAGCTGTTTCTTTAAGTACTGAGGTGAAGTTTATTGAGATAATCCTGAAAAATGAAGCATATTTTTGCATTTTTACAAACAAAACAATTATTTTATTACAAGTAAATAAATCACATGTTACTACAAAATTTACATTTTATTACAAAATTATTTTATTACAAGAAAATAAATTTTTGCATTCCTGATGTACATGTCACTACAAAATGTACATCAGGAATAGTTTAAACGGAATTATTAAGAGAACTAGTTAAAAATAAATAAGGGAAAAGTTAGATTGCAGTTTAAAAAGATCCAACAAGTTTAGTTTACACTTAATGAATACCAATAGCTGTAAAAAAATTATCACATAGCACACAACCTTGGAACATTATACATCATGAGTAGTGTACAAGCAACTACATGCACAAATGAACACGTGAATACAGAATCAACAGAAATGGGAAAAATCATCAAATGCAGATAAAATTCTACAATTAAATCAGCAAAATGAGTATTAGAACCTGAAATTTAGACTATAAGTAAAAGCACAAGATGAATGAAAAATTTCAATAAGCCTTTGAACAACACTGCAATTAAGAAACACTAGAGCATGAAATGGGATCCTGAGGTTATTTATTCTCCTAAACAAATAGATCCGTGTTTGTATGACAGTGTGGGAAAATGGGAAGACAATAATGTAACATAAACTTGAAATAAATGATAGTACCAGTTCAATTTGGCCATGACACAAAAATATAAAATCCTGCTAGAATGAATCGTTAAATCTATACAAAGCACAAATATAATGCACTCCATTACAAAGCTTATTATAACTACATGATGTTGCATATAGAGAAAAAAAATCTTAATTTCTTAATAGTATGGATAGCAATAAGGGCAAAATATCATTATGCTAATAAAATAATTTCTAAGTGGTATGCAAATTATATGTTCTATTACAAAATGAAGACTTTAGAAGTTCAAGTGCTGACAATTATCATTGATCAGAAAGAAGATGAGACATTCTTCAAAATATCATTTTAGCACTGACAATTTGCGTAATTGCTATATATTATGACCCAAAATTTCTAGCCTTTTTTATCCCATCTGGCAAGAACAAAACTTGGATTCGATTAATAATATCTACTCCTTGTTAGGGTCATTCTAGTTACACAAACATATAATCCTTTTTTCTCTTAAGCGCAACAAGCAAAATGAATAAATTCGTTCTAATGCGTTTGCACAATAAGGGGGTTGTGCTTGTTTGGTAGCCGGTTTCAAGAAGGATTTATGCTTTAGGGTTTAAGCAAAATCCTGCCAAACGGCTAAAAAAGGCCTACGAAAATTGTGTGAATAGGCGGATTTAGTAAATCTGTGACGGGCGAAGAGGAAGAATGGCGCAAACAGAAAGAGGCTTACCTTCCTGAATGGTTTCTAGTAGGAGAGGAGCGGAAGGATGAGAAAGATGGGAGCTTCGGGGGTCTTTGTAAGCCGTGACCTCGTCGTTGCCTTCCCAGCTAGCTCTAATGGCGATTGTATCGTGTAGGTTCGTTCACGAAGGCGATGGTTAGCGGGAAAAACAAGGAGGGGGAGTGACATAAGCTAGGGTTAGGGTTTTGGGGCCGAGATGGGAAGTTTGTGCGAAACTAGATGCAGGAGAGGGTTTCGGGAGAGCAGGAATAGGGAGATAGGTTTTGTGGTTTTAATTTATTTTTACTTAATTTAATTTTATTAAAAAGGATGAGGGAGACAATAGGGTTTCCATTAGAAAAAAAATTTTGTCCGGACGTTTG